TTGCAGCAGCATGCCGTCGTCGTCCTCGTCGTCCCTTTGTCTAATGGATGCGCATTTAAATATGTGCAAACGATGTTGCTGCTGCTGCAGTGTGCGGGTGTTATGGCATGCGCATGCGTAGTTTTTACATCGCGTCGATCTATGTACATGAATACCGCGTAGCTATACCAATCGAACTTTTTCTATACAGGGAGTAACGCAATTACAGTTTTTTTTCTTTTTTATTTTCAGAGCAATAACGTAACGTTTCCCAATTAGTTTGGCTTCTATGTATGTATGAAAATCGTAGCGCGCCGCGCTATAATGCCTTGGGTTCTTTTTTTGTGTAACTTTACCGAGGGAAAGAACGAAGCTGCGGAGAAATAAAATGCTAAAGCGAGCAGCACTTTCTATCGTATTTGTAACGAAGAATAATTGAATTATAAAAAATTTGTGAACGCGATGGGGTAAATAGTGAAACCACGAGGTAGAGACCTATGTAAAACAGTTCAATTAGTTTTACAGTTGTTTTTGCAGGATGTTTTCTCAAAAGCCATGTAGAGGTCTTTATTTGTTGTTGTTTTTGGAGATTTTTCCATTAAAATTATGTGACAAAATATTAACTGCTTCAAAACTAACTGTTTCAAAAAATTTCGATCGATTTTCGGCTACTTGAAATGGCAATAATACTACTTTAAGACTCCACCGTTAGATGGCGAGCCCTTTTATATGTAAACCTGCAAGTCGAAAGGTCGAAATATTTGCATAAGTCAATCGTATTTTTCGTTCGAAAAAAAATATTCTAAGACCACTTTAAACAACGCAATAGTTTGATAGTTTGATATTTTGATCTATCAGGCCTCGGGGCAAGCCTAATCTGGCACAAATGAAGATACAATAGGCAAATACATTTTTCATTTTCTTGAAATAAGAACATAGCAATAGTATGAAGGTAGCATTACATTGAAAGTGATTATGATACAGTAAGACTAGCTCTCATTGAGAGCTGTTAAACGCAATTAAAGCTAAAAAGATTAGCCAAATCGTATTAGCCATCAGGCAGCCAGGCATGAGATATGAAATTGATGGAGAGAGTGAAAAAAAATAAAAATACCGCGATAGGATGAAAATTTGAAAAATAAAAGAATAAAAACCATGAGTTTCGGCTCGACTTAACCAGGCTCACGCACATCCAGCTCTCGAAGCCAAGCGAGAGAACACACATACACTCCACAATCTGTGGAGTTTCAGCTCCATTTCGTGAAGAGGGCATCTTACCATAATAAAGTCTAGAAGTTGTCTTTTATCCGTAAAACTAAATCCATTGAATATGCCAACGCGCTCGTAACAGTGACACGAAACAAACGAAGCTCGAGTAACCAAAAAAAAAAAACGCCATCCTCTTTCACACAGCTCTCGATGTGTGTCACGCAGAGCAGGAGGTGGAGAAGGCGGAACAGGGGTCGAGGGGGAGGTGAACGCGCAAACCACGAACGAGCCGCATCATCATATACCGGGGGACAAATAGCTTTAACGATGCGCATTAAAAGCCTCGCGCGCGTGTTCGCGTTCGCGCGCTTACGCGTGTGTATGTGCTACTATATATAGTAACTCTCTCCACCTACAGCTGATGTGCAGAGGGCTCGTGTGCACCAGTAGTATATAATACATCGTCGTGCTCCAGACACGGGAATAACATGCCGCTATACCGCGCGCACAGCTCATCGTCGTTAAATTAACAAGCTCTCTACTGGGCCTATATATACAATCATGGTGTATAGCTAGCGAGGGACGATCGTCATACTGCGTGTCGAGCAAATTTTACACATTTGCTACTGCTGCTGCTGCTGCTGCTGCAGTTGCGGTGACGCGTACGTTTATATTGCACACGCGTGCACACAGACGCATCTGCAGAGCGTTGAGGTGTGCCACCCTCCATTTGGAACAGTGTGTATGTGTATAACACGAATGTAACAATTCCAAATAGAGGAGGTGGTGGTGGTGGTGCGCGAGCGCCTAGAGCCGAGTCAGCGTTAGTTATACATCGCTCGATAATCCCAACCTTATTGCCTTAATCCTCAAAGTCACTTATATGACGAGTATAAGACGTGCGCGAGCGGCGCGAGAGAGAGAAGCTAGCAGCGAATTTCTATCTCCCCGCGTCGGCTGCACGTAGGCACTTAACCGAGATGCAACTAAACTTAGCCTTATAACTGTATCCCTCTCTGTCTTTACCTCTCTCTCTCTCTCTGCGCGTGTCTGGGCTCTTCGATTGTTGCGAATAGTAGTATAAAAGTATTTACTCGCTTCAGCAGCAACGAAGCTTGCACCTTACATGCGCGCGATCAAAAGGGAATCGTCTATACTAAAACGTAATCATAACGCAATTTTCCAAGTTGCAACGAGTTGCAAATTTAATCGGATATTGTAGTTCGCTCTACAGCTTTCTGTCTCTCTCTCTCTCTCTCCTCTTTCGATGGCGAATTGAAGCGCCGCGCACGAGTCTGCATCCTCCTGCAAGTTGTGCCACCCGCCCACCGACGCACACACACTCGTGGATTATGAAGGGAAATTATATGTTAATCATTACACGCGATCGCGAGAGACTTGCGTTTCTATACAGCGCAATATAAGCATACAGCAGCAGCAGCAATTGTCGAAGCTGCTGCTTTTACTACTCTCTCTCTCTCTCTTGCGGCAATCGCGTACAAAATATGAAAGTTCGCTGGCATGCGCGCCGCAGTTAAATAATTTAACAAGTTATCGGCTATGTGTGTGCTGCGCTGCGCTTGGCAACGACGTCGCGAACACGGCAGCGGTGGCGGCACGTACACACACACACACACACACACACACACACACACATACATAAAGTTACTTGGCTAATAGTTTTAATACAGTCGTGCAATATCTTTGCTTATTGAGCTATGATTCTTACCCACGCGTACCTATATAATACAAGCGCACTCCGCAGATATGCGCGAGTGTGCGTTAATACGAGACTGGTTGCCATATTGTAATACACGTCATAAATGTCACAGGCACGAAATTTTGGGCACAAGGTCTAACTCGCGCTCACACACAGGCAATTTACATAATAAATTTTCATCCCTCCTCCCCCGCCCCCGATAATGTTATATATGGTACGTGTGTGTGCGCAGCAGCGAGTTTGCGCTGCTGCAGCTATAGCGGCAGCCACATACTCGTGCTACCGAGTGTTAGTATCAAACGAATCTCGTTAAAAGCTTTATAATCCAAAATTGACACTGCCCCGGGCCCTCTCCCTCCGTACATAGTACTGTACATATCCTGTATGTGTGTGCGTGTGTGTGTGTGTGTGTGTGCTGTACGCGACTATTTCGATTAAATTCGTAATCATCCTCGCGCTTTACAAATACAATGTGTGTGCGTATAGCTTATAACATCGTCGTGACGTGGAATAATTCGATGAAAAATTGACGAATTAAACTCGTGTCCCTTTTTTCTGGCAAAAAAAAGAAGAAGTAAAAGTTTGTTTATCGTACGTTTATAAACAGATGGATACGTGCAGCGTAACGTCGCGTCGTGCGTTTGCACCAGTGCCTCTCTAAATCTTATGGCGCAGTTTATTTTTCACGCGCGCGCGTTAAAGTTTGTTAGAATAAACTCTCTTGAATTTTAATAATCCTATCTCACTCGAGGAACTTATAAACGAAGTAATCCCTTTTCAAACTGTTACAAACATTTTTCCCCGATTTAAAACAAGCATGGCTGTAGGTAGGCAGGCAGGCAGGCAGGCTGGAACTCATTCAGCTTCTTAACCTTTCAGCGCGCTCTCGGCTCTCTATCTCCTTTTTTTACCACCCTCTATCCCTTATATTTTTACAAAATCTTCTCAAGACTTATTCAATAAAAAAGTTTTTAACTCTATTTGTCAAGTCGATTCTCGCTCGCGCGCGCGCCTGCCTCGACGTGCTCGTACGCGTCGCTACACCCCAACCAGCCGCTAGACGCTCGTGCTCTCTTTCAGAGTAGCGAGTCTTTTTCTCACTTAACACCCGCGACCTTTAATCCTTACATAACGGACGACGCAACTTTTTTCCCAACTCGAGGGAATGAATAATTTTTGCTAAATCGGTAAAACCACAAAAGTGTTTCCTATTCATATAGAAACTCTTACGATCCATCAAAATGGCTGCAGAGAGAGAAATCGATTGACCCTCGATGCGCGGATTAATAATATCGTATCTTCGCGAGTATTCACCGAAAACGAAGAACGAATCGGGACAGGACACGATTTTCATCTCGCTATTCATTCGGCGCCGACGGGACTACCATACGATGGATATAGCTGCGAACAACGCACGTTTATATCCGACAAGCTCTATGTATAATTACGCGCAATTCGAATGAACTGACCGAGACGGCAGGCAGACAGACAAGAGCAGCAGCACATTTGTGCTTGCGCGCGCGCCACACGACGCACACGGGGAGACTCGATGACGAATTAGCCTGTAGGGAAAGATAGCGCCGCCGTTGAATGATGCGACTAGCCGTTGAACGAGCGACTGGTGCCTCTTAGGGATATACGATAAAGCGAGCCGAGAGTGGTTTCAATTGCGGCGGCAGCGTGCCAATTCAATTAATCGGAAAGCTCGCGTAAGATATCGCGCGCGTTCGTTGTCGCCTTGTGTGCAGAGAGCCGATATGACGTGCGTTTTTTGTTTCGTCTTTTTTTTTTGTCGTTGCAGCTAGTACGCAGCTTATTTGCGTATACAGGTCCGCGCAAAAAATTTCGATAGCTTCGTAAAAAGCACACACACGCGACGTACTGTGTAAAGACAAAGTTTCGCGATGTATACTGAAAAATCGACTCGCGCGTCATTTAGAAAAAAGCTCGAATTTTCGAAACTTTTTAAATGCCACGCATGTCGCGCATAGAGCAGTTCAGTTCTCGCAGTGTGTATAAACGGCGCGCAATAAATTCCTGCGAAAGTTTTCAGACGGAAGGACCCCACCGACGTATTTTTTGCGTCGCGAAGGTTATCAAATATCCCCCGCGCGCGCGAGTTGCGCTATGCATGCATGCAGAATATGTTCGCACACCCGCACATATGGGAGTGGGTTTAATATACGTGTTGTATAACGTATCCAAGCACTAGGTACACGTTTATACGTTCCTCGTAAATATTATGCGCAGCAGCAGCAGCTCTTTAACGGCATCTTGACGGCTGAACGACGGCAGTGCGCGGGTTGTATATAATACGCCGCTGCAGCCCTATACGCGTCTGTATTACGAGAGAGCCGTGTAGCATATAGTGTGGCGCAGTATACGTTATACTCGTGCGACGATACGCGAGTCGACGACGAGCTCGACGATCAAAAACACGCGGAGATCGTTTTCCATTTATACAATTCATGAAAAATTTATCAGATTATTAAGTGTAGACAGTTTCTTTTTATCGTGTCATCCTACGGTATACGTGTGTAGATACACACGCAGCAGGTGCGTGGCAACGAAGAATTACATAGAAAAACGACGACTGCGCGCGTGTTTGCGCGTGCGTCGATGGAATATTTATTCATTATTATTTCATTCATTGTTGTTGTTGTATTTTCCGTTTCAAGTTTTTGACCCAAAAATTCAGAGAGAGAGAGAGGGAGAGAAAAGAGCGGAAGAGATTGAATTTCAGATCCCTTTTCACGAGCAGCTTATTACTTTTTCCAGAGCTTCCACTTTAACTTCACGTGACTTTTTTCCATTCCCCGCTCTGCTGCTACCTATCCACCGCTACTGCTTCTCTTGCTGTATATATACGTATAGCTACACGCACATAGCTACTACTCTTGCTATTTTCTGTTCATCTCGCGCGTCTGTACCCGTATCCCGTGTGTAGTGTATTATACATATAGCACACACAGAGTATCCGTCTGTGTGTGTGTGTGTGTGTGTTTGTGAGTCGTGTGCCTGTGCGTGCTGTTGCTGCTGCTGCTTTTTGAAATGCTCGCCCCCGTGTGTGCATATTGCACTGACACTGAATGCCACGGGAAATAAGCAAGAGAGAGATTTTCTCAAACAGGAAAAAATAGAGCAGGAAGGAGAGCGAAGAGAGGAAGAGGAAAATTAGGAAAACGAAAAGAGAAAAGCGCAACTCGCGATGTTTCGATAGGATATGAGGCAATTTATTTACGACGCGTCTATGGTAATGTCATCATGCTGATGATTTTTATTTTAAATAAAGTAATCATCGCGACGCGGAAAAGCAAATTTAAAGCCGCACAAGATTTCGTTTTCTAAATCCTAGATAAAATTATACAATGTCGTATCGGCCCTCTATTTATGCGTGCTTTAGAATGCACCTAAAGACCGTCGAGCGTCATTTTCGTCGACTCGGGGGGCTCTGTACGAGGCAGGTATCGCTTATGCAGCTCTGGAAGCGAAACGCTGCTACTCGGCTTGCTCGATCGCGTATACGAATCCCACTAGATATTGGCCAAAGCAGTTGCTCCTGTATTCCTGCTATTACCTCACGAGCCTCTCCTCGTCCTCTCTCGTTCGCTCGCAAGCTCGGCTCTGCATCCGAGTTCGTGTGTTCGTGTGCGTACACCACCGTGCGTATATATTTGCATGCGCATTAAGTTGCCTCTCTCTCTCTCTCTCTCTCTCTCTCTCTCTCTCTCTCGAGTATCCCTGATCGCAGTCGTTCGCTCGCAAGCTCGAACGCACCGCGAGCCGGAATTGAGCTTGCAATGTTTGATCGATGTACGTGTGTCTTTGTGTGCTTGCTCGACCGACTGATGCTTTTTCCCGCCAAACATTTGGGATCAGCTCTCGCTCGCTCTCGTTGTTTCGATTTTCCCCGGATTCTCTTCTCTCTATTTTTTTTTTTTTTTTTTTGTTTTATCCACACCACTGGTAAGCTCGTTCGAGCTCGCGCGAGTACGCGAGCATCAAAAGCCGTAGGTAGTAGTATCAGCTGCGGCCAAACCTTGTTACGGGCAAATTGGATTGTGTGCCTCGCGCGCGAGCGCACCCCCGTCGACGATCACCGGAGAGCGTGTTTTCGTTAACGCGATATACTTTTTGCACATCTGGGCGCAATTTAGATGCGCGGGGCTCGGTGGTGGTGGCCCTTTTCGTTCTTAATGGGTAATCGCGCGTGTGCCACTGAAACAGTATATCCTCGATACGTATAGGCTCTCTCTCTCTCTCTTTGGTGTAACACCCTGCGGTCAAGTTCGTAATATCGGTGGCTTGCGCGACGATGATTAATTGCGGTTAAAACGCGCGCGCGAACGCAATCCTCCGTCACCGTTCACGTTACAGTGCTGCTGGGCGCGCTTGATCGTAGTTAAATCGATCATAATCATATCTCGGACGTACGCGGCGGGTATTTACGTCGCGAGTCAAACTCGATTACAGGTAAATTCCGATTTTTTTTTTCTTTTCTCGGCTTCGCCTTTCCGAATTTTCCCTCTTGGACTCTCGGAAAATTCAAAATATATCTTCGATGCAGTGAAATGCTAGTCGACTCTCTATGCGGGAGTCGGATTCCATTTCTTCGGGTGACATTCGACAACGTTGCGTGGACCTGCTCTGGGAATATAGCTACACTGTACACTTTGCGCTCTAGAAAAGATCGAAATATCGTCACGTACAACATACACGTGTTTAGCATCTGTATACATACACGTTGTAGAATCGACGAGATAAAGAGAGCGAGCGAGAGTCGGATTGGCGTAGATGCAGCAGCAGCAACGGCACAGGAATATCCGTTTGCATGGATGCCCTAAAACACAAATGATTGGTTTCGATTGTGCCTTTCTCGGGGCATTGAATAGAGAGACAGTATAGTGCCGTCCCTTTTGATATAGCATACACTGTGCAACCATGGCTGCTGCGGTCGCTCGAATTCCCTAAGTAAACAGAAAACGCAATCGATATCCGCATCTCTCTCTCTCTCTCTCCACCATATACTAGTTATAGTATATGCAAAGTTTTGTTCGAGTCTTATCTTTCGAGGTTTCGCATCGTCATAGTTGCAGTTTTTAATGAAATATTATACTCTCGTGTATAGCTGCACTCCGTAGATACGTTATAATTCCCACTAATGCCTGGTTCATAAAATCCTTGAGTATTCACTATAATCCTTGCACTTACAGGCAGAAACATTTTGCCTCTTTCTTTTTTTTATTATTCCTCGTACGGTAAAGAGAGGAAGTAATCCGTCATCCCTCTGGTGACTGAGCTTTTTTTCCACGCTATTATACATAAATACATACGTTATTCTCGCTCGGAGGAACGCAAAGTTCTATGGAATCTCTCGCAGTACACACACACACACACAGCAAGAACTGCTGCATGCTGCTGCGACTCTCTCTCTCTCCCTCTCACGCGCGCGCGCTAGAGCTCGGGCATTAATTATATAAGAAAAAGAACGTGAAAATTTACCCAGCGGCGTCAGCGTAGCGGGCGGAAAATGTAAAAAAGTCAGCGCAGCGCAGCGTGGCGCGCGCGTGCAGTACAATAATTGCACGCGGCGGCCCGCTTGATTATGCGGCTTGGCGCAGGGCACAAAAAAAAAAGGGCAAAAATAATGTTTTATATATGTGTGTGTGTGTGTGTGTACGTAATGCACGACGTCGTAGTCGACGACGAAGGCAGCAGCAAGCACGTGACGACAAGCGACACAGAGCCAATTAACAGATATAATGCACCCGAGAGCTCTGAACTGAACTGTGTGCATGTATGTAAGCTCGCGCGAGTGTGTAACGAGTCGACGACTCGCTCTTTGCCCGCTCTCTGACTGCTGCTGCTGCTGCTGCAAACACACTGGAAGAGAGAGAGAGAGAGAGAGAGGAAAGAGAACTGCGTGGAGGGCGGGGGTGCAGGCCATGGTTATACACGAGGGGTAGTTAGCACTTGATGGTGTCTCGTTTTCTGTTTTCGTTCTCGTCGGTCTCTCGCTCGCTCTTTTGTTTTTTGTGCGCAGCTCCTTCTTTTTTTATATTTTTTCGTCGTCGTTGCACTCCGCAAGCTGCGCGATCGCGCGCCCGTCCCCTCGCTCGGTGGGTTTTTTCACGGAAACCCGATTTCCTGCTGGATTTTCCTGTCTTTCTCTCTCTCTCTCTCTCTCTCTCTCTCACTCTCTCTCTCTCTCTCTCTTCTATTCTTTTATCACTGTCGCTCTTATGCTACAACGAGGCGCAGAGCTACGTCCATTCTCTTTTTCGTTCTCTCTGTCTCTTTCTCCATTATATCCATCGATTTGCAAGCTTATACCGAATTTTCTGTCAATAGCCCCCGGTGTTGCGAGTTTAAAGATTCTCTCGCGCACATTCGTGCTTGCTTGATTTTTTTTTTTTTTTGCAGATATCGATCCGATATAAACGCGGTTATACGATATAACGCGTATCTGCAAAACTGTATACCGTCCCATTTGCTGGAGCTTTTTGTTTCGTATCAATATTTTAATCGTCGCAGAGAGAAAGGACCGACAATTATTTCGCTCGAAATGACACGAATATCGCAGCCAGCACAGCTTACAGCGCGAGAAAAGGAAAAGCGGCAAAAAAGGGTTACGACGGTGAAAATTGTCAATACCCCCCGTAACGTCGAGGTATTCTCTCTTTCCCGCCATGGCTCGATATCCTTATATGAATGAAAGGGATAAATTACGTGCAATTGGCCGAACGCGAAAGCTATAGCTAGAGCTAAAGCGTGGCGTGGTGGCTTTATTTGGATTTACGCTCTGGCACCAAGGCGAAAAATCACATTAAGCCTCTGTGGCTTGGCGCCCGGGCGCCCGCTATATATACTACTACGGTAATAATACGTGCCGGTGGCAGCAGCCTAGCGGGGCTAGAGAGCAGCGCGTGACTTAATTGCGGCAATGGCAATTCGACGCTTCCGCGCGTCGCAGCTCTAGCTGCGTCATAGTGTACTAACACCAACACTATGGGGCACACAGCAGTGAAGAAAGGATTATTTATATATGCACTCGGGGGGCAGGCAGGCTAGCGCGTCATTAGTAATATCACACGGAGCGAGCTCCGAATTTATTCATTA